GTGTTTTTATGACAACTTCTAAGTTTACAACACATAATCTAATTTCACAAATTTACCCAAGGTCATTAGCTAAAAAAATGGAAGAGCTGAAACTCTTACTCAGATTGTCTCATGCCAAAACCTATCCTCTTTCTGCTATAACACTTTGTATTAGTAGGGTTGGCTAGATGGGTTTTTGAGTCTGGTTTTTTGTTTTTTGTTTTTGTAAAGAACAGTGTATCCATTAGAATTGTATTCATTTGCTGTAACAAACCCTGACCAAGAGTACTTTAAACAGGTAAAGGGATTATTTTGCCCACCTAATAAGAGGTCTGTAGCTAGGCAGTTTGGGTTGGTGCTGCTCCTCCTTTTCTCTTTACTGTTGCCTGTGGTCACAAAACACAGGTTCTTTTCACACCTGACAGCAACCTCACAACCAGAAGGCAACAAGAGGAGGGATTAGTGGTGTCTGCATCAGGAAAGTAAAAACCTTCTCAGGATGCTCTAGGCAACTTCCTCCTACATCTCATTGGCCAGAATTGAGTCATGTGACTGCGCCGAAAGGCTTTCTGGGAAGGTAGGCATGTTAGTGCGGCACCTTGCCTCCCTGAGCAAAATCTGAGTTCTCTTAAAAGGAAAAGTGGGGAATGATTAGTGCGGAGGCAGTAAGCAGCATCTTCCCCATGATGAATACCTGACATTAAGAATGTTGGAGGAGGAACAGCTCCCTCAGAAGTGCTGCTGGTTTAAGTGGATTCCAGGGGCTCTGAGCACCACTCTTGATGAATTTTGCTGCAAGAGAGGCAGAAAATGTAGTCTATGTTTTAAGCAGCCCTAGACTCAGCTTCAATTCTATTATTATGGAAGGAGAGAATGGATGTTGGGGAATAACCAGGGCCTCTGCCACAGTTTCTCCACCAGCCCCAGAGACAGCGTTCCCCTTGTGACAGAGTCTGATATGCACAGCAATATACTCCTTAATCTTTAGACAGGATGGGTTGGGAGGGCAGGTAGTTGTTGGTACAAGCTTTGGGAATGGAGAGAGAGTAGTGGGCATTTGGGGATACGTAGAGATGCTAGGAGCATCCAAAGACAAATTCAGCCTCCTAGATTGGCCTGCGACAAGGCTTTTAAGAGTGCAGGCTGGATTCTCAGAGACATCTAGTCCCAGCCCTGTCATTAGCAAGGCACTTCACCTTTCTAGTCCTCATTTTCCTCTTCTGTAAAGGGGAATAAAACCCACCTTGTAGGGTTGGTGTGAGCCTAGGTTGAAGTGATGCGTGTCCAGCTCCTGTTTTATGCTAGATGCTCCATAGATGGCAGTTGTTATTTTTGATAGGAACGTGATGTGGCTTCCACAACCCCTGCTCTAACTCAGCTTACATCCTCTCCTTCTCAGCTATACACACTTGCCATTCTGCTGTCAGAACATGCACTTTTGCAGCTTTCCACTTATGCCTTTGTGGCAGTAGACTCTTGGGTGAAACACCTCACATCCTGGTGAATCCTGTAGTCCTTCATGCCTCAGTTCACCTTTCCTCTTCTCCAGGAATTTTCTCTTTGACCTCCCCAGGTTGGGTCAAGCCCTTCCTCAGTTGCTCTAGCAGCCTATACTTAATTCCATCATGGTTCTTATTGCACCCTCGGGCAGGCCTTAACTGTCTTCCTTGCAAGGCCAGTCCAGGCTCTCTGGGAGGTTAAGGCCCAAGCCAATCCCCTTGTTCAAAGCCCTGCATGAAAAAGAGGAGGAAAGTGCGCCCTATTTTAAATGTTTAAATGAAAAGTCCTAGGTACTTAACAAATATCTGCTGAGTATCAAATTAGCACTGTTGACACAAAAAAAGACAATGCAATATAAGTGTGCTATTTGCAAATGTGCTATTTGCAGACTTTTATTTAAAAATCATAATTCATAGTGCACTACAGGCGGTTTCTTAATGGCATGCACATTTCAAGTTCTGTCACCCTGTGTATACTCCAACCTGAAGGCAACTGCCAAAGAACCCGTGATCACCCAACTGGGAAGATGGAAGCTCCTTGTGCTGGGGTTGGGGCTTCAAGAGCTGGCATGCAGAAGAGGGTCTCACTGAGCGCCGAGCGTCTCCCACTCCTGTCACCCTCCATCTGCACCCTGGTGGTGTCACTTCTCTCAGCTCCTCTCCCGCGGGTCCGAAGTGGCAGCTTTCGTTGGGTTTTGCCGCCCCGCCGGCAGGCGGCGCTCTCCACCCATCTCCCGCCGGGGTCGCGACGGGGCGTGCGCGCTCAAAGGCTGCTCGGTGCAGGCGCCCGCACTTCCTGGTCGCGGCGGGGTCCCGGGGGTGGTGCTCGCCGCTCCCTCCCCTTCACCGGGGAGCGCGCAGCGCTCACGCCCCCCGCTTGGCGATCACCTGGGGCCGAGCGCTGCAGGTGCCGGTGCGGCGACCTTGTCGCGTGTCTGGTCCAGCGCCCTGTGCGTGGGACGCGGAGCGCGAGCCGGGAGCCGCCGCGCCGCGGGTGAGTCCGGGTGGTCAACGGCACCGGCCCCGCTCGCCGCTTCCCAGACGGGCGCTCTGCGCGAGGAGGGAGAGGAATCAGCCTTCCAGGGATTCTGGGGCTGGGGTTTCTGTACTACTGAAGAGGTCCTAGTCTGTGTGTTGGGGAGGAGGGGGTGTTGGCTGAAAGCTACAGACGCCGAACCTGACTTTTTTGGGCGGGCAGGGGCGGGGGTTGCGTAGCCTTCGCGCCTGGAGCTCTCGTGGGCTTGGGGACCAGGAGGATAGCGGATGGAACCTGGTGGCCTGGGTTGGGCGTATACTCACACTCAGACGCTCGCATCCTGTTTTCGGGGGAGATAGCTCTTAAATATCATAAAAACATGATTTTATAGAAATAGATGTTTGTAATTGTCTCCTTTCTCTGTGTATAGTTACTTACACGCACGTGTATTCGTTGGGGCGGACTTTGCATTCCCCCTCTCCTGGCCTTGGCGAGTTGGGGACTGTGTCCCCGCGCGCACCAGGCTGTGGGATTAAGCCCCAAGGCTTTGCAGAGCTGTTTGTGTTTGGAGACCATGGCGCCCGGGTTGGTTCCTCTATGACCAGCCTGAGCTGGTTCGAAATTCTCTCTAGATAATCTGGGACTGCCCTCGAGAACTCGTTGGCTGAAGCTTTTTCTCACCTAGGCAGGTGGCCTTGGTACGTGGCAGCAGGGCCCGCTCCCCCGCATTCCTGAGGCTACCGCGAAGACCCTGCCTGCAGAGGAAAAATCTAGCCGGAGGAAACGCGCTCGCTTCGCCCCACCTTCTGCAAATGATTCGGGTAAGGAGCTGGGGCTGTTGCTCAAACTCAGAGTTAAACCCCCACAGATCAGAATTGCAGAGGACCTGAATGTGTGTTTGGCTCTCAGAATTACTAATCGCCCCAAGTTAAATCGTTTCCCCTGTGGTTTTCAGACTTTTAACAGGAACTGAGTATCTGTGGTTTAAAAACCGTTTAAGAGACATACCATGGGTAATGCAATGTGTGAGCCTTGGTTGGATCCTGAGTTGATGAAAAAGGTTTTATAAAATTGGGCCAAGAGGAAATTTGTACTGGTTATTTCATAGCATTAAAGATGTTAGTTTTATTTAGTTACTTTAGGTAATGGTATCATGATTACAGTTTTCTTTTTTTAATCCTTATCTTTTAGAAAGACATACTAAAATTGAAATATAGGTTGAGGATTTGCTTCAAAATAATCCAGTTTTGGGGAGCACTGCTAGTGAAGTAGTGACAGGAATCGAGATGAAAGGAGATTGGCCAAGAGTTGTTAATAGTTGAAGCTGGATGAAGGGTATGGGGTATGGTATTGCTTACTTGGCACTGTTGTCTCTACTTTTGTATGTTTGGCATTTTCTTTCAAAGTACCACCACCACCTGTGAAGCTTTGTTTGGAAGGCAAGGCTTTCCACAGATCCTCAGTCTTTGTAAATTAGGTGTAAAGGCTGCCTCTCCAGCCTCAGAAAGTCTTTTTTAACCTCATGGATGCCGCTTTATTTTGCTCAGAAGGTGTAGGGTGTTTGCTGAGTGTGGCAGAGCTGAGCGGATCAAGTTGATGCAGGTGGATGCTGGGTCAGCTTTTTTTATACAAAGGGCATTAGTAAGCCTGGGGTTGAGTTGTCTCCAAACAGACCGGTTGTGTAAAATGTGTTAGCAGCTTTTCTGAACTGCCCAAATCCTTTCAAGTTATACTCATCAAAAAACAAAGCTCAGAGTAATAAACACACCCATATGCACTTAGGATTTGTGTACATTTATGGAAACATTTCATACATCAATAAAAAGTGTGTATTATAAAACAAATCACAGGGTGAGTGGAGATCTACTTATTACCTAAAAGAGACTTATTATTTTTTTTTAAACATACTCATTTAACTTTATCAGTGTCATTTAAAGCTTGATTTTATAAAATACAAAAAGACATTTTTAAGAGTTCTGTATCACCGGAATTTAAACAGTAGGAATATCGATAGCTTTTTAGGTGTAAGTTATATAAATTAAAATCAAATAATTGGAGTTTTTTCAAAATATGGAAACTATACAAATGAAATAAATGGCAAAAGGACCTAATAGCAATATTTTGACATTTATGGATTACCAGTTACTTTAGGATCTAAACAAAGATTCTGAATATTCAGACTTCTTTTGCTGTGTTTCACATTTAAATATCTCCCTACCTATATTCTGAGTCAAGCTACTTGACCAAAAGGTCTGATTTAGGAAGGCATTTAGCTTTATAGCAAAACTTTTTCCCTCTGTATTTACCACCTTCAAAGGAATTGACATTACAGTGCTGATGTAACGTGCTGGTTGCCTTTTGAACAGTGTGCAGAAAAATTATGTCCACCCTATGAAAAGCCCAACAGGTACCAAACAATGGGACAATTAAGTATGTTAAGTTTCCCCATCTAAAAATTAACCAATGAAATAAAACACATGAACTATAGTTGACTTGGCTTCAGGAAAAGTACATTAGAGAATTACATCATTGTTGTCATCTCATTTTCAGTCATTGACAGAGATTTTGTAGGCCACCAAGCTATTTACTTTGTGGATTGTGGTAGTGAAGGAATGAAGACGGGCTTGCTCAGAACTAGTAATCAACTGTGGTCCCGACTCTTCCCATTTTTCAAGTACAACCAAATCCTTGTCTGTATATATCAGTAGATCAAATGAACAGGACACTTCCAGCAGTGGTAGGAACGTGACTGTAGCTGTGATCTGTCTGATCATTGAGTGGATTTCATCTTGGATAGCCTTCTGAGACTTTTCTCTGGGTGTGCTGTCATCTTTGGCAGTCTTGTCAAACTCATTATCAAATTGCCATCTTTCAAGGACCTCTTTCAGTGTTTGAGATGGCTACCACCAGTTTCTGAACTGAACACTTGTATAACCAATCTTTCAGTTGTTCCACGACATTATTTAGGTATTTCATGAGCTCAGGATCAGCAGTTACAAGCAAAGTAAGTCCATATTTCTGCACGCAAGTAAAGGTTTCAGATGGATATCCGCCATGCTGATGTAAAATGCCGTTGATGCCAAATGAGAACTCGGCCATGATTTCGGCGTTCCTACGCAGGGGGATGCCCTGCTCCCCGGAGAGCTGTAGCGTGCCCCACCCCCCCGGCCTATTTATTTATTTATTTTTTATGACCTTACCTTTTTTTGCTTCAGGCATCATGACATGTAAATATTTAGCAAAGAATTGAGTCCTAAAAAATTTCACGCTATTCTTTTCCTTTCTAAGAACCGTGTTTTGAAGAAGAAGGACGTAGGGAGTAATATCGTTACTGTATGCATTCAACTTGCTCGTTTTTTTCTCCTTCCTCTGGATTTATCATGTAATTCTTACTCATTCTGTCATGATTAGTAATTTGGAAAAGTAATGATTGTTTTAGGGAGCTATAAAAGTTCGGTAGAGGAAGGGTAGGCATACTCCTCAAAGATAAACCCGTATTTCTTAGTAGCTTCAGTGGAACTGATTTTAATGCCTATTTGCTTTTAAGAGAAAACAAGCCAAGTAAATGCTATTTGTGATAGTTGAAATGTTAGACAAATCCCTTCAGACTAGACCTTGCCTAGTGTAGATTTGCTAGCGTAAAAGAAGTGGTAAAGATCCTTTAAGGATTCAGTTGAGGAAATGCCGAAGCATGTCCCAGTTTTCTCTCAATGTATGGGAAAATGAGAGAATGAACAAAAGTACCCTTACAGTAGGAAAATATCATAGTGAATTCATTTCATTACATAAGTGAAATTGTTTGGCTTGTGGTTCAGGTTTCTGTGTGTGAATAAAAGATATATGCTTCTGTCAAGTGACTTTATTTTCTGCCTCAGTTCTCTAAAACAAGAGCATGGAGAGAGGAAAGAAACTTTCCTGGCCCTTAAGTGACCAGGCAATGACTTAATAATGTTTACTCTCCCTCAGTGTGAAGATAGTGGAATTGAACTCGGGAGAGTGGATTGCTAATAGCTATTTTAAGGAATAACCACAAATGTGACACCGTCTTCTCCTTCCATTATGTTATTTGAGGGTATAAACACATTAGAAAAGCAAGTTAGTGCTTTGTTGGCCTAGAAATGAGAGGAAAGTGTGTTGACAATCAGACCAGTAACTCTTCTAATTTGTAAGCACTTTGCTTTCATCCACATCACTTCATCCTATTCTGTGAGGTGGAGCAGCCGAGCTGGAGGATTATTTAAGTTTTTAACAGATGAGAACATCAAAATCTAAAAGAAGCTAAGTAAGACTTGCCAACTCGTTTTAGTGATAGGGGGGAAGGAAATTTAACATTTGTTGAGAGTTCATGGTAGTCTTTACACATATATTTTTAATTCTCACAAATGTCTCTAAGTTGGGTATTGTCAGCTTGTTTTGCAGATGAAATTGTAGATAAGAGTGGCTAATAGTTTACTTGAGGTCTTGCAGCTAGTGAAAGTAGAGCCAGGATTTAAATTTAAATCTATTGGATTTACATTATTTCCAGCCTCTGTGCTGTTCCACACTACCTTTAGCATACAGCAGAGCTACGCCCCCAAGGCACACTCGACTGCCTTGGTTACAACCTGGGGAAATGGGCCACATCCAACTAACAGATATTTTATCAGGCCAGCATAGAGTTAAAAAGAAAACTGAACCAATGTTGAAAATTGGGAGATTTCACATACTCTACCCACAAGAATTTCCAAAGGCAGTACTGAAGCAGCCTTCTCTCTAGAGAATAGTAGTACACTCCTTGGTCTCTACCACTCCCTAAAGTGTCCCGTGTCCTCGAGGCGGTGGACAATAGTGCTTACACTGTTTTTTCTCTTACAGTATGAGGTCTTTCTACATGCGCATCTATCTCAAGTGGGATAGCAAAAGGTAGGTTGACATGTTTTTCTCCCTAGAAAAATAGTAAAGGGTATATTCCTTTGAGAGAATGAAGTCTTTTGTTCACTCTGCAGTGCTTCCATGTCAGAAAAATACAAGATATGTCATTATTTTTCTCACACCCTATTAGCTTTATTTATTTACATAGAACTTTAGAGTTTTCCACCTCTGCAGTACAATAAAAAATGGAGTACATTTGTGGGCAAGCTGCAGTGGAGAAAAGGAATGCTTCTAAAATCCCAAACCACTAATTCTGTGTGTAGGGGAAGATGCATCTTGTGCATCTTGGAAGGTCCCCAGGGCATCCTGTGGAGATGGGGCACCAAGGAGCCTTCTTTCTTTAAGCAGCCTGATGTTGGAGTCCAAATGGGTCCTGAGCTTGTGCATTGGCTCTCTGTGGCTGCTCTGAGGGTTCCCAGGACTTGTGAAGCTACTCCTTATTCTTCCTTCTCTGCCCAGCCCTCTCCAGCTCATCACAGATCTGCTCCTACACACTGCCTGGACATAGCTCTGTCCAAAAGCTCTGCGGGGGTGAGGAACTGAGGTGTTCACAGCTCAGCCTTTGAGAGCTTTCTGTGGTGCAAGTCCAAGGGTGGCCTAATTTCCTCATTTTGAAATTTTCTGTTAAATGTCATGGGACAGATGTCACATCTGTCTATACTTGGAATTTCATTACAGTTGAAGCTTCTATTTAGATCTTTGTTTCCTTCCCCTGGATCTGAGTGTTCACAGTTCTGTGGGGTAGGGGGCCAGGGGGTGAAGAAGGGGAAGAGGAAGTACCACAGTGGAACCTTGTGGAATGGTTTTGAGGAAATGTCATGTACTGTTTTTAGGAATTTGTCACTAGAATTATCAGTCTAGGTATGAACATTGTGGTGGGGAGGAAACTTTACCTTTCAAGTTACTTTCAGCTGGTGTAATAAGTCTACATGAAACAGATTATCAAGAGAAAATAACCAAATTTAATTATATACATACATATATGAACCCCGCATATATAAGAGAGTCAGAGACCCACATACATGAGAAGTTCAGAGACAGAAGAGGGAAAATGAGATATATGTGGCATCCTGAGCCAAGGAAGAGGTAAGGTGCCTTGGGGCTTCAGAGGAAAGAAAAGTCATTCACGAGATGCTAAGAAGAGCAGATGTTCAGTAATTAGAAGTTCGCCCTGCCGTAGAGATAAGCTATAAAATGTTATTTCTTGTAAGGTCTCCAATTTAAAATCTTTAAGGGAGAAGTAAAAGTTTCTTGTGAACCTACAGAGTCTCGATAGCTGTCAGCTCAAAATAATTAACATGCTAACGTGTCGCATGTTGGGGAGGCTGGTTCTGAATCCCTTCGACATGCCCCAGTGAGAGAAGAAAATTAGAACAAAGGAGGGCTGCAAGTACAATGTCTTGTTTGGTTGAAAGACATAAGCTTAGAGACCAAGGTGTTCTGTGAATGCCAGGCCATTGGTTGATTGGATCCTTTCCAGGAAAGCTCTGGGATTCAGGTGTGTGGGTTCGTGTTCCCTCAGGTAGGTGATCACTAACTCCCTGGTCAAATAGGCAGGTGGCGAGGAAAAGTGGGCTGATCGATTATCTCCCAGAGCAAACAAAGGTGAGAGAATGATCCTGAGTGTGGACTCCAGCCAGACTGCTGGATTATTTCCAGTTTTTCTCCCACCTACCTGTGTAGCCTTGACTATTTTTTTAACCACTCTGCCCCTGAGTTTTCTCCTGTGTAAAATGGAAGTATTAATAATACCTACCATGTTGGGCTGTGAGGAATTACATGGTATGTCAGTGCCTGGCATGGAATAAGGATTTGCTGTGGGTTAGCTCTTACTGTTGGTAGAGTCTTGCCTCCTTCAATTTTGCCTTTATTTGTGAGGGTGGGGAAGAGGGGGTCCCCATAAATTTAGAAGGAAGGCTGCAGGGTGGAAATGGTTAACAGCTTTCACCTCCCTATTTTCGGGGTGAGCTGTGGGCTGCCCATCTGAGCTGCCTCGTGGCCTTAGGGAAATGTTCTCCATGACAAATGCTCACAGGGAGTTGGAGCAGCAGCAGTTTTGGATTGATGAAGAGAACTGGGCTGGAGTGGGTGGCTGTGAACCCAGGGCTTTGGCGCTGTTGTTTGGGGATTAAAATCCACACTGACTCTGGAAAAGAGATAGAATCCCCTGACATTCTGTTTGGGCATAGACTCCACCCTGTTGTGGAAGAGCAGACTGGTGTCAGTGTGGAATAGGGGCGGATACAGGAGTCCCAGCCCCATGTCTGCCACTGCTTGGCAGAAGCTTGCAGCCGACTGAGTCCGCGGTGCCTCTGCTGTCAGCTGGGGATAAGCACACCTCATAGGAATGTTGTGAAGAGCTAATAAAAATGTTATGAGCAGGCATGGGGAAGGACTGTCTGACTTGCCCTTTAAAGGTGAAATCATAGAACAAGTACACCAGCAGATTTAAAGATGTCAATAACTAATATTTACATAGTACTTTTTATAGTTTTAAAAAGGGCTGTCTAATTAGACCTTCAACCAGGGGTGCAGGTTTATTTGTTTGTGTTTGTTTCTAATGCCTTTTGCTGCCTGTCTGGAGAAATATAAAAGTGAACTGAGGTTCAGGCCAGAAATGAGCCTAGAAATGAGAACCTAGGAAGGGGCTATTCATTTTACTTTATCAGAGAAAGCAACACAAGTTTGTTTCCCTTGTTCCCTTAAAAAATCATAGTGAGCAGTGATATCCTGGGGAGGGAAAGGGAGAGATTCAAAGCCAAGATGTTCCGAGGAAGCTGAAAGCATGCATTGTGTCCAGGGAGGCTTAATGGACGGGCAGCCGGTCCCGTCCAAGCAGCCAAGGCAGACAGAGGTCACCCCTGTTAACCGCTCCTGCCCAGACCATTTATAGAAGTACCCTCTGGGGGTCAGGGAAGAGGAGAGGCCTTGGGCTTTTGGACTCCTTCCTCTTCCTGCCCCAGGTCCAGACCTTTCTCCTCCTCTCATTTCTCCTCCTTCACTCCCAGCCACGTATTCCAGTAAGATATCTAACAGCTCCACACCCCTATCCCATCCCCCAGCTAATAAGCCCTCAAGCCTGCTCCCTTCTAACCAGCCCTTGAATGGCTTTCTTTCCACTGCCTCTTCCATTTTCCATTGTTATTCTTGTCTCCATTGCCTCCTAATCCTGCTTGGCACCTTCCCTCCTTTCAATTTATTTTATTCTGGAGAGTTGAAGAAAAAGAATATCTATGAGCTCACTATCGCAGGGTCCAAAGCCATTAACATTGTGGTGTATTTTATCCCACTTTTGTTTTGTTTGCTTTTGTTCTTTATACATTTAATACATTTTATGTAGCATTTAAACGTAGTTGTCATGCTGTGATTAAAGTGTGTCATTGCATTTTTCCATGTCTTTACAAATACCATTTGTAGTAATCGCATGCTATTTCAGCCTTTTTTAGCCCTTCTCTTAATATTTGGGAAAAGTGGTTGCTCTTTTTT